CAGATGCAGTATCCATTTCACATCTGCTCATATCTTCCACAACATTTTAATTTGCTATGTGCATGTTCGGTGTTCATCATAGAATCAAAAAGTAACCTAGTTGTGTGCTAGTATTCGCGTGTTACTAGACCGAATACTACTATAGTTCCTTGATTTGCATTAATTAAACATCCCTTATGATGTAATTCTTGAAGTTACAACAGCAACATGTAAATGTTTGATGAGGCATAATAGGTTGTTNGCTTATTGAATTAAAAAGTTGATTATACACTCCAAAATATTGGTTATAAACTCTTTGGTAGTGAGAAAAAAATTTTTTTAGAATGGTGTCTTGTCAATCATCCGATCATTCGGGAAGTTTTCTACTATAAACGCGTATCTCATGAAAGGGACGCCAGTTTTCCTTGAACAAAATTCGTTCATCGTTCTTTATGAATTGTACATTGCATCGAAATAACTGGATGGTGGCATGATTTGTGGTGCTGCCGTCTCGGCTAACTGGGTTGAATGGATTGATGAATGTTTTTGGATTGGTTCGAATCTGCGCAATGAGAACAATTAGTTGGATGGCAATTCTTCAGTGGGCATCAATTGAATGCTGCATATGCACACAAAACTTCATCGTGCACATCTGTCTGTGCGTTTCAGCGTGTCAATTAGCAATTCACATCAGTTTCTGTTCTCTTGTTCAGCTTTATTTTTCAGCACTGGATGATCGCGTAAATAACGTTGCAGATGTTCACTAAAGCAATGCATATTGCATGAACAATTCATGTTTTTACAGTGATTTGCTTAAAATATTTCTGAAGTTGAATCGGAGACTAACTTGAACATCGTCAAAGTGACTGACGGAAGTGAAGCGAAATAGTTCCAAAGACGTGTTTGTTTGTTGATTGTTCGAAGTTCTCATAAGTTCACCGATTTTCTCTTTGCATTTCATTCCCTTTAAATTTTTCCTCTTTCAGACGACAGTCACCTATACAACATTTTTCAACCATAGTGATCGTGCCCTTACCGTATTTTTCCAATCAGGCGAGACTTTGTTTAAACTCTATTTGATCTCATGTTCACTTTTTCCTACATCGTGTTTAGTTATGTCGCATCAGAACGCCAATTCCATAGACCTTGAAAATGGCAAGCTGGAGATGTCATCTGTCACATCTGATGAGAGCTGCACGTATCTATGCAATCGCTCAGCTTCTTCCGAGTATTCTCCATTAGTGCAATTCTTGAGCACAATCATTCGTCACAGTTTGTATCAGAAATTGAATGAATTTTGGGCCAAATTACAGATTATTAACTGATGTGAGCTTATTTTTAGTTTATTTCATCATCGGCTCATCAAAATTCTTTTCTGTAATTCGATTGATCAATCAAATTTTGTATTCATAGAGATTACAAAGCATCAATCGGCTATAAACCTTAATCGAATTCGGAGGAAATCAAAATATTGATAGAAATCGATTTCAATCAAATTGAACGCGTCGTTTCTACTAAGAAATTATTCGTTGAAATCGTTTGGAAGATTCGAACAAAATTACATAAAATAGCAGAAACGATAAAATGACAATAACATTTGCTTTTGCATCGTATTGCTTCGTCATCTCCAGTTTCTGTTGTTATCAAACACCACTGGATAGTCCTTTCGATTCTGACTCTAATCGGTATTGTAACGCCGAAGTGGAAAAGACAGTCAAACATTGTCGCACCTTCATCCCTTCAACCTTCAACTCATTCTAATACAACTTCATCGTTATTTTGGGATTTTCGTCAGTGCGGCATTTTTCATTTATGATCTCCAATCGAAAAGGTAAATTCATAAGATCTCCATTTGAATTTCTCGAATAGTGCAGAAATTACCTTCAAGCTCCCTGCAGGTGAAGCTTCCTAAAATGCTCAGATCTGCATGATGTTTTCTTAAAATACTTATATCCATCCCACAACATTGGTTCCTTACTCGTCTTTAATGACAGTTGATTCAATTCAAATCGAATTCATTTCTACGATCTTTTTCTTATTCACTTCAGTGCACTTTTAATTGCATTTCTTCTGCGCATTCTCCTTTCAATGAATGATCGTGCGGTTTTCATTATGCTTAAGTTTTCAGCATCACTTCTCCTCATGGTACTTTATCTCGCTTTTTCACATTTCAACTCTCAATTCACAGCTCAGTAATTCATTAGTTCCTTTTTAACACTTTTTTATTGCTTGCTTATCTGTCCCTCTGAACACATTTGTCAAGGAATCGCAATCGTTCGCACACTGTTCTGCTTTCATTCTTCAAAAACTTTGATTGAAATTTATAGAATCACTTTATTCGTTACAGCGTAGAGTCAATTTAGTTTTTCGCTGTTCAGTTCGTACTCCTTTTAGCTTACCAAAATCGAGCAATTCATGCCATTAATAGCATGCTTGTGAGCATTAGCGCTTCTCAAAGTATTCTCTCAACAGGCAAACTGCATTCTCGCCTTAAATGGTTTCAGTTTATGGGCCGAAAAATTCATATAAATCATCGACTGTGTACACAAGTAATGAAGATTGTGAGTAATGCATCGTTGAGGTTGCTTTGTAAGGCGGATTTTATCAAATGCGGAATTCGAGAATACGATTGCGAATATTGAAACTGAAGCGTTGCAGTAGCTACAGACCAGACTCAGAAAGTTCCCAGTTCTTATTTCGGATCGAGAACTGCTACGTTGTTCATTGTTGCAGGCAAATTAGTGCATGAATGTTTGTTCATTGCACCGAAGAATCGGGCGATTTAAGCATAAAATAAGAATGTCAATATCATTCCAGCGTTGNTGATCAGTTTTAAAACTTCTTTTAATGTTTTTTCAATGTTCAGAAGAATAGGACAAAATAACTAGCGAAAGACGTCTTCGTAAGCATTGCAGAAACCACATCCAAGAGTAGCCCATAACGATCACATGATCGCATCGATGCTAAACCAGTGATTGTATCGTAACTTTGTTTCCTAGAAAAACACAACATATGATGGGATTAAGATCATCTTCGGAGAATGCTCGAAAAGAGTACCCATTTCAAGAATTGACGTTTAACAAAGTGAATTAACAAATAAAACAAGTGAGTGGTCTGTTCGTCAATATCGATGCTATTATCTCCGTTTTTTCATCTAATTTGCTTCATGAGTTAGATCGTCAAAGAATGTGCTGCCTGTTAGTTGAGTATTCAAATGTTGCCTCCATGTGAGCAATGAGTATATTTTTAAGCATTTGATTGCATAATAAAACCCCAATTCAGCCTTACTTCTTTGCTCAATCGATACCCCAGTGCGGCTTTCGTTATTTCTATTTTATTGAAATTCATTTCGGATAGATGAACTTGGAAATTCGCTAATAATCATATCAAGTCCTATCGTTTTCATTCGCTCAAGATAAGATAGCATTGGATCGAATAGGAACGATCGAATAAGCGCATTTTAACGTTGTCAGGAAGTACATCAGGAAATTGATTTATCAGTTTCGCCGAACTGTAATTACCGCAGGGCACACAACAACATTCGCAAGTTTCAGAATGGAGAGTTAAGTTGAGGGTGCTCGCAGTCGAGCTTCTACTAGTATGAAGATTTGGTCTATTGGTTTATTGGTTTTTCTATCGTTTCTTTGAGCGTCTACTAGCATGATCTACACGGATTCATTCGTACATCATGAAGATTCGATCAAGCTTAAACGATTTTATCGGTCCATTTGTCAACGCAGCAACGCATGATGAAAACCACTTCCTGAAAAGCATGCACCACAACGAATTCAAGCATAAATATCGCATTGCTGTATTTATTAATGTTTCACAGACGCATAAGTTACATATATTATAAGGAGGATGTGCACATGAAAAGCAATGGTCTCTATGTGCTCATTTAATCGAACACATCCGAAATTTATTGATATTCATTCATTTCTGAGCACACTTTGTTTTAAGACCACTGTTTATTGGCTGAGCCTTTACAGCTTTACTGCAGCATGATGTTGCTTTCGTTGTTAATGAGTTGCTTACCAGAAAGAACTGAGCTGATCAACGGAATGCAAACATCTACGACGCAGAGAGTGGAAGGGGATGAGGAAGGCGGTGTGGTATACTGTCCCTCCCTGCTGCAGAATCTTGCGTACACCACTGGATACAGATGATACGATAAGTAATCTTGAAGTGCAATCGGAATTTAGATAATCACAGTTCGGAGTTGAAAGATTTCTTCCTATAGCCACCTGCAAGGTGAGTTTTGAGCGTCGATCGATGCGGCCACTGGCCACCGAAATTGGACATCTACCGAATTTCGGTTTCCATCGAAAATCGGCTTCCTTGGGTTTTGATCGGTGGCATCTATTTTTGATCGCTACCTGCCAACAAGCAATCGATCAGTCACGTTCGCTTTCTGTCGGTGACCACCAAAAATCCACTTTTCTCGACTTCATTTGATAGGCACTGGAAACGCGTTATTTTGCCAGCTTCAGTTGGGGAACGAAGACTTCGTTTTGCCGCTTGTTTGATGCATACACAAAAAACAAACAAAAACAGGGCAAACAAATGTGAACGGGATACTGAGCGAAGAAGCATTGAGGTCTGCAAGAAACTTCATTTGAGAAACATTTCGATGAGAATTTTAATCCAAAAACATTCATAAAATATAATACAGAAAGCAGAATAGCGGAAAAAACACGATAAAATCAACAGCAAATAATCATAAATCAATAATGAACGGAATAAAATCAACAGAAATCGAGAAAAAGCGATGCAAAACGATGAAATTGAACTTGCTCGTTGCTTCTTTACGAATGCCGAAAGAAAAAACCGCAGGGAAAACCAGGAAAATCAACGGGGAGCGATAGAGTTGAAAGTTTTTCGCGATACTGAACCTCGAACATAGAAAGTGCAAATGGGCAGTTTCAATGGGTTTGTTTTGTGAGCAATTATTTCGATTTTTAGTTAAATACAGAACGTCCCATAAGTCACCCTTCCCAAATTCGTTTCATAACTCTTGTCAGATGCGTGTGTCACATTTGGACATCTTTATCTCCATCTCCTCATGTGATTGTGAGTGTAAAGTTAAGAGGTGGGCTAGAGCGCATTGTAATATAAAACCGAAAGTGGCTGTCGGTCGGTGTCCACCGACGGATGCTGGTCATTGGCCGATCAGTCGTCTTCAGTTTTGCTCCACGGTCTCCGAACAGGACCAGCCCTTCGTTGCTGGCCAAATAAAACCAATTCGTGGTAATCAGCGACTGTCAGCTTCTTTCGGTTTCACTCGATGACCATCGATTTTTGCATTTCATCGAATTTCGGTGGCCACCAACCCAGCTCTAGTCTAGACTTCTTTTTTGATGCAGTTTATCGTAGCTGCAATAAAAAAGTATAGATGTAGATATGAATCAGTCGCATAAAAATTTTAAGTGATATTTTGAGAGGTTACACAATAATCACTTAAAAGTTGTTCGTTTTTCATGCTATCGCTGATGTTATTCAGAGCGTAATGCATTGATCAACTTTCAAAACATCAAAATATTCTCAGATGTCTTTCTTATTCAGTTCCCATCCTCTGCCTTTACATATTTTGGTGACGTTTCTATATTTTTTGTGCGACTTTCGAAATCTGCATAATAACATAGTAAGCTTGTGAACGATCCAGAGCTGTGAAGATCCGTTTATATCAATACTTCATTAATACACGATATCCTGAAAAGATCCGATTCGAGGAGGTATAATTTCCTGCCGAATTGTTGTATCTAAAGGATGGTTCATTGCGAGTCTGAAATTTTTTCTGCCTTAAATTCAGAAAACTTCATAGTTGCTCGTATTTGCAAATTTTTCATCTTCGTTCTAGAGGAAGTCACCTGGAAGTAATAAAAATAATATTTTATCATGGTAAATATTCAAATAGTGGTGCGTTATTTCCATTCCGATCGCAGAAAAATGTTTCTGATTCAGTTGTACGAAGCTTAGAAATTTCTTTGAAAAAAAATCTTCTCAGACGACATACCAATAATGACAGATATTGGTGTATTGAGGCACAAATAAGAGTTAAATGAAAGTTGACTCATTCGAAAAGTGTCAAGATGGCTCAAAGAATTTGAGGAATGAATAATCATTTGTACTAAATGAAAGTGATAGATGTATGTAGGTGTGCAACTGTGCGCACTTGTAAGGGCGAACTGTTGCAGAGGAAGATTTATTATTTCTTTTGGTGTCTGAATTGAATGAATGCTTTAAATCGAATTGTTTATTGCACGAATGAAACAGTCAACTGAAGATGAAGTGGCAAAAGTTGCACATCAGAAAATGCGCATCCGCAAAAGTGCCACTGAAATAGTGCCATCGAATGCAATTTTGGTGTGCGCAGCAGACATTCACTGAGAATATTTTTCGAAATGATTGAGCAGTTTGACAAAAAACACAACCAACATTTGATAACTGGCTCAACGAATGATGTTCATCATCGAGCGAATGAATAGCTGTATTAATTCTCTCGAAAGGATATGATGAGTCTCACACTGATTCATTGTTCCTTTCAATGATTTGCTTTATGAACACTGAATAGAATTTATGTTATACCATCGAATGATGAGAGGGAATGATGTTTTCAGTTTGTTTATCAAAACGAAATCAGCTGGGATATGAAAACGTTCAAGGATAGCTCTAAATCAACAGCTGTAGATGATAAACGATTGCTGTGCTGCTAAGGCATGTCTGCT